TGGTTGGACTTTTTCTTTTGTTCTTTAATTTTAAACAAAGGGCTGGAAAGATGGCTCAGCGGTTAAGAGCAAGTAATGCTTTTACAGAGGACCCAAGTTGGTTCTCATGTTGGTTAGCTTATAACTGCCTGTAACTGCAACTCCAGGGAATCTGACTCCCTCTTCTGGCCTCCAGAGGTACCTGCATGTACATGGTGAACATAAACTCAAGCAGGGGCACACACATACACATAAAATAAAAAATAATAACAACATAGATTTATGAATAGGTTTAAATTCACTGAGTTATCTATTACCACTGCTCTAATTTTATTGCTAAAATTGTCCTAAGAAGACTCTTCAGTAAGTTTTCTATGTTCATTACTATAAATCTCTCATACTGTAAGCACTTCCTTTCTGTCTGGCACCATAATGTATTTGAAGTTCATCTGATACATTTCCTACTTCAGATATACAATTAAACATTTGCCCAAGAGCTTCCATTTTCTTTTAGTGAGTAATAACATTAGAATATTTTCTTAGGGTATATGTATTATTTATAAACAAAAACAAGAATATTAAATGTGCATGTCTATTTATTCTTTATTGAGTGGTATTCCCAACAAGCCCAATGAGGGGTGCTTTTATCCTGTATTTGAAACCGAGTAACTCCTTGTGTCATTTAGTTTATTATCCTTCATTTAAAGTGAATGAAAGTCTTTTTTGATACATTTGCAACAGGAAAGAAAGATTGAATTCAACTCTATGCCCAACTTTTATTTGTTCATATCACTTCCACTAAGCCTTGGATAGGGAAACAAGGTCTACAGCTATATCAACTCTGCAAATTTTGAGGATCTTCAGCCTTGTAATACTAGTACCTATGCCACCCCTCATGCTTGGGGGGGCATGCATTTCACATGGCAGAGTTGTGTTTCACTGTGAGAGTTACCACTTTATGACAGCCCTGCCTATTCTTGAAAAAAAAGACTTTTCCCTAGGTGTCCAATTCCCCCTAAACTACCCACTGCTCTTACATTAGCTTCCTTGGGACAGTCAGCTACATTGACAAAGTCTAGGTAAATACATTGACGAGGGCATGACACAACAACAGAGTGGCATTGAAGAGGCAGACAACGTTTAGACCTTTCTTCTCCTTATTCCTTCTGTCATCTCCATTTACCTAACATCTCCTCCTATTTCCTGCTTCCTTCTCTATTCTTCTCCAATTTCCTCCCTTTATGTCTTTTTCTTTTTTCTCAACCCTTCCCTCCATCCAGTCATTTCCCTGGGGATTCTGCTTTGGTCACAAGTCTATGTTACAAGTCAGGAGAAACTAGAATATATTAAGACAGGATGAAAAGAGCACTGGAGCTATTAACCTGGAGAAAAATCAGAAAAGGATGACTGTAATATGTCACATATTTGAAAGAGAACGGTTGGATCTTCTACAGCGATCACTAATGTGCTTGCTGAGATATAGCTCAGAGGGATGGGGGTAGGGGAGAGTAAAGAGGATCAGTGAGGAAAATGCATGATCAGAATATATCCTATGAACCCCCATACCTTTTTTAAAAAAAGATTCCACTGCTCTGTGCTCTGGGTTATAGGCATCTTACAACCAGCTTATAAGAACCTCACATTTCTTCAAGGAGGATTGTAGGTGCTATTCTTGAGGGAAAATAAATCCAGGGTTTTGTAGTTTTGTCAAAGTTTACCTGAAGGATTCTAATTTAAATTCAGGAAACATGTCAGTTACCTCAGAGACTATTTTGTCTTATTCTTCTGGACCAATCTTCTTTGTATAATGAGCATTTGGCTTGTACTGAGAGTTTTAAAGGGTTGATGTTCAACAATTTCTACTGACTACAGTAGATAATTATAGACAAGTAAGGGCTGAAATATTTGAATAAAATAAAACTATCATCTGAGTTATCATCTGAGTCATGCCTTTCTGTGGACAAAGGTTTCCAATATTGGACACAAGAGCCAATTAGTTTGAGTCTTTGACGTATTAATTTTGTGAAGATCATTCACCCTTTCCAATGTTGACACAAGAAAAATGAAGCACAGATGTTTTTAGAAATGGAAACCCTTGAGTCTCATATCAGTGGAGTGAATTTGCCCATCTCCAAAGAATGAGTATTACTAAGTATGTAATAGTGAAGCCCCTCTCTCTCATTTGTGAGAACTTGGGAATAAGAGACTCTTCTGCAAGTTACATATTTACAACCAATAGCAAGTGTTTGCTGAGCTCCTACTTAAACATATGTAGAACAAGGGACTTGGGACATTTTGCATGATATAGAGAGAAATGGAGAGAAGAAGCCAGAATCTTCAGACCAGAGGAAACTGATGAAAAAGTCAGGTAAAAAAGACATACCCATAAAAAAAACCCTAGAAAACAATACATTAATGTTGGACCAGGTGGTGCATCCCATAATTCAAGTTACTCAGGAAACAGAGGCAGGAGAATTGCAAGTTCGAGACCTACCTGGGCTATAGAGTATGTTCAGGATAAACCTAGGCAATTTATAAGGACTGTCTCAAAATGAAAAGTGAAAAACAAATATGGGGCTATAGAGAGGGCTTGCCTAGCTTGCATGAGCAAGGTCTTGGTTAGATCCTCAGTACCATAAATAAATAACTAAAGACAGTGCATAGTAAGTGTAAAATGAGAAGAGCTCATAACTCTATCAAAAAATTCAGACAAGTTAGGGGAAAGAATGGGAATGTTTGAGGCATCAATTAGTTTGCAAAACCTTCAAGATGACACTTAAACTGGAATTGGGAAGGACTGGATTCAGATGCATGCAGACTCTGGGATTGAGCATGAACAGAAGAGGAAAGCAGAGATGTAATGGAGATTTAAGCATTTCCATATCTATCCCTTAAGTGCAAAGAGACAGATTATTCTTTTAAGGGCCGGAAATGACCCCTGGGAAATGTGGTAGTTTAAAGGTAATTGGCCCCCATAATCACACAGGGAGTGGCACTATTAGGAGGTGTGGCTTTGTTGGAGGAGGTATGGCCTTGCTAGAGGAAGTGTGTCACAGTGGGGACAGGATTTGAGGTATGCTGAAGATACTGTCCAGTGTGTCAGTCAACTTCCTGTTGCCTGCAAGATGTAGGACTCTCAGCTACTACTCCAATACCACATCTGCCTGCATGCCTCCATGCTCCCTGTCATGATGATAATAGACTGAACCTCTGAAACCATAAGTGAGCCACCCCAATTAAATGTTTTCTTTGTAAGAATTTCCATGGTCATGGTGTCTTTTCACAGCAATAGAAACCCTAACTAGAAGAGGAAATGATCCTGGGAATAAATATGGTAGTAACTTCAAATGACCATTGTGATTGACTGTTTCCTATAAGGCTCTTTTGGTTAAAAAAAAAAGGAAGCCACTTAAAGCAATTCAAGAGAAAAGAGAAAAGGCAATGAGAGAATATTCCAATTATAACATGAGGCTGAATGTTCAAAAGTAGCTCGTAGGTCGGAAAACAAGGACCCTCTATGACTTAGGACCACATTGTCTCTGTTTCCCCTCATGTCTGCTTCATTCTCTTTTTCTTCCAGTCCATCTATTCTGTTTATTTAACCTCTCCAAAGTTAAAACATGGCTGCTATGATCACTTCTTTCACATCAAAAATCTTTTCAGTATCAATCATTAACTAGCTATATTTTCTGGTTAGATGTTTAAGAGAAAGAGAAACTCTTCAGTAACAGAGTAAACAGTTCATTAGCTGGTTCAGCTCAGGTATCCACCCCCAATAAACCTTTGTACCCTTGACTTCAGGCTGGTGTCTGCTTCCCAGAGTCCTTAACCCAGGTACCTCACAAAACAGTAAGAAGACAGGGCAGAAGGAAGAAACACTGGAAGTCCTCAAGGACTTCAGGTTCCTGGAAATGAACGTGAATATTCAAAATGAAGATTTTACAAAATAAAAATAAGCTCCTTGTCTCTCTTTAGGTAGCAATTTGCTTTGTTATTCATTTCTGCAATTTATTAAGAAAACTGAAAGGAACATCAGCTTTTCTGAGAAGCACTCTTAAAATCAAGAGACACAGTGAACAGTGCTGCACAGTGACTACAGTTATTAACAATGTATTATATGCTTGAAAAACACAGTCAATTTTAATTGGCTTCATAGAAAAAAAACAGATAACTACATGAGATAATACATATGCTAACTAGCTCAAGCCTTTCTATAATGTGTACATATTTTGAAACATAATATTGTACACAATAAATAAATATATATAATTTTTAAATGGGAAATTGCATGGGAGTCCATACCTAGACAAACAACTCCTGGCATCTAAGGAATGCTGAGAGGGGGAAATAGTTTTCTCCAGAGAAGACTTCACCTAATAGGTTATTCAATACCAAATGGTCAGCCCAGAAATTATACACATACAAGTAACACTAAATGGACTGAGCACACTGTATTATATATTTAGGCATGTGTGTGTATGTGTGTGTGTGTGTGTGTGTGTGTGTGTGTGTGTGTGTGTGTGTGAGAGAGAGAGAGAGAGAGAGAGAGAGAGAGAGAGAGAGAGAGAGAGAGAGAGAGAGATGGGAGGCTTTAAAGGGAGGAAAAGGAAGAGAGAAAATTATGTAATTGTATTATATAATAATTTAAACAAAGAAGATAGGAAAATGTACATAAAATTGTTTAAACCTCTAAACTAAAAATACAGAAAAGGAGAGAGAGAGAGAGAGAGAGAGAGAGAGAGAGAGAGAGAGAGAGAGAACAGAATGTTACTTCTCAAGGAATCTATTATAGACCAGCTAGAGTGAGGCAAGGTGCATGCTCAGGGTGCCAAATTTCAGAAGGCACTCACTTTTGGGTTCATGAGAATTCAGAGTAAACGTTTTCATGAGCTTAATGGTGAGTACCTCCTTAAACTCTGTCCCTCAGCAGCCTAACTTGCCTCACCCTGGTCCTGGCTGTGGTATCATCCATAATGATTTTGAACAACTTACATAGAACCATTCCCTTTTTGCTGCCCCAGGTACAAAGCCATTGTGCGGCCAATGGATATCCAGGCATCACACGCCCTGATGAAGATCTGTCTCAAAGCTGCCTTGATCTGGATCGTCTCTATGCTGTTGGCCATCCCAGAGGCTGTGTTTTCTGACCTCCATCCCTTCCATGTGAAAGATACCAACCAAACCTTCATTAGCTGTGCCCCCTACCCACACTCTAATGAGCTGCACCCTAAAATTCACTCTATGGCTTCCTTTCTGGTTTTCTACATTATCCCACTGTCAATCATCTCTGTCTACTACTACTTCATTGCCCGAAATCTGATTCAGAGTGCCTACAATCTCCCCGTGGAAGGCAATATACATGTCAAGAAGCAGGTGGGTGCTTAGTGTCCATTCATTTTCTGCCTTAGGCATGTGGCCTCTTGCATTAATTTTGGATGTTAGTGACAAGTATGGTATATAAGTGACCACATCACTTGATTTTGAGATTCTTGAGATAAAGTGAGTGATGCCTCTTTAAGGGCTTTGGGTTATTTCCATGGTAGGGCACTTGCCTAGCATGGACAAGGCCCTGGATTCAGTCCACCAGAACTGTGAAAGAGAAAATAATTTCAAGGACTCCACAATGCTTTCTCTAGATGCCTCTTTTAACTCCAACCATGCTGATTGACCAGGAAGAGAATTACCACACAGATGAAGCAGAGGGAGAAGAAAAAAGAGACAATCTGGTTAAGAGCAGCCAGAGGGATGACTGAAGTCAGATGACATGACATGCTTGAACACCAATGTCTTCCTGAAACCCATCTCTGTGTATAAAATGTATACCAATGAAAAAAGGTTTATAGAATGACTGGTTCAAATCCAGATTTGATTTTCCCTCTTGAGGCCTCAATTTTCTTATCGTTGTTGTAATAGTAGTAGCTTCTATTTCGGAAGGTTATTGGAAAATTATGAGAGCATGAATAAGAGCTACAAGTCCCAGCATGTAGGATATCCCCATATATTACTCCTCACTCCATCTCCCATAACCCCCTGAAATTTTATCCTAGAGGGACAAGTAGAGACCAAGGGCGCTGGTTTTCCTTTCTTTGTCAGTAATTTTAATTTTTTTAAAGATTTTTGTATTTCATTTTATGTATATGAGTGTTTGCCTGCAATGTATATGCACCATGAGTGTGCCTGGTACCCATGGAAGTCAAAAGAGGGCACCAAATCCCATGGGAGTAGACTTATAGATGGTTGTGAGCCACCATGTGTGAGCTGGGAACTGAACCCAGGTCCTTTGCAAGCCATCTCTCCAGCCCCAGTCACTTCTTTTTGCCTCCTAGCCCAAATGCAGATCTTTGATATATTTAATGGTAGAACAAAAAGACCCCCCAGCTCCATGGAAGTAAATAGCTGATACCCTTGGAGAGCTTCCCTTCCTAAATTCTTTTCCTACCAAGGAGAAATGGCAGTTGTCAGTACAACTGGCTGCCTATTGGAAAGGCTTTTTAGGAAGCAAATACCCACTGTACCCCTAATTGTTTAATAAGAAAGAAGTTCCCCCTTGAAGTCACAAAGGGAGTTAAGCACAAAAAGAGATGTTCACTCTGCTTTGTATAATCACCTTCCTCACTGTGTCGTCCAGAAATAGCTAGAGATTAAAAAATAATAATACAGACTTATCTCAGCTTGGCCAATGAGGAAGAATAAAGCTGGCTGCTGTTTTGAGCATCAGAGGGGATAAGAAATAATTAACTGTAGAGCAAGGAAAGGCATGAAGTAGAATGGCTGATAAAAATGCCCCAATACTCTCTGGAGGGAAAAGAGGGCACTTACTAGAATTTCATTGTGCGATCCATTCAAGCATGTAATCAACTTGGTTTAAAGATCTGTTCTCAGCAGCATATTCTAAATATTTTACCTCATGGGTTTCTGCTTCCTGCCTTGTCAATCTGTGTTTCTGATTCTGTTTTCCTCTCTCTCTCTCTCTCTCTCTCTCTCTCTCTCTCTCTCTCTCTCTCTCTCTCTCTCTCTCTCTCCCTCTCCCCCTCCCCCTCCCCCTCCCCCTCCCCCTCCCCCTCTCCCTCTCCCTCTCTCCCTCTCTTACCCCTCTCTCCTCTCTCTCTCCCTCTCTCTCATTACCTTCATCTACAATTGAACTCTTTCTGTGGCTCTGCTCCCTCATCCATTTCCCTATTTCTGTTTGTCTTCATTGATCTAACACTGCGCCCCCTCTGCCTCTCTCTCTGCTCAGATTGAATCCCGCAAGCGGCTTGCCAAGACAGTACTGGTGTTTGTGGGCCTCTTTGCCTTCTGCTGGCTCCCCAACCATGTCATCTACCTGTACCGCTCCTACCACTACTCTGAGGTGGACACCTCCATGCTCCACTTTGTCACCAGCATCTGTGCCCGCCTCCTGGCGTTCACCAACTCCTGTGTGAACCCCTTTGCCCTCTATCTGCTGAGCAAGAGCTTCAGGAAGCAGTTCAACACTCAGCTCCTCTGCTGCCAGCCCGGCCTGATGAACCGGTCCCACAGCACTGGCAGAAGTACCACCTGCATGACCTCCTTCAAGAGCACCAACCCCTCGGCCACCTTCAGCCTCATCAATGGGAACATCTGTCATGAGGGGTATGTTTAGACTAACCTCTCAACCTTGCCTCCTAAAGGACTCCAGATTTTGTTTTATGGATGGCCAGGAGCCCTGCCATTGGTTGTTATCTCTATACCTTCCAAAGACCCTTCAGGAGGCTGAGCGGTTCAGATGGGTAGGAGAGATATCCAAATGCATCAATCACTAGTGTATCTCAAAGTAAGCCAGCAGGCTTCATTTTCTGTCTCAATTTGGGAGGGCTTCTTCTGATGGAGATCAAATCTTCCTGTTAAAAAGAAGGAACAAATTGGAAATTATTATTCAAAGCACCAAGCCCTGCTATGCAAGTATCGTCAATTAAGTCATAGAAATTATGTGAACAAAGAGAGCAGAGAAACCACGCGTTGGATATCTACTCTGTGAAAGATTTTATTTAAACAGAAGCTGATTGCTTTCAAAACATGGCTTGACTCTTTTTTCCAGAAATATCTATAATATGTAAACCAAGGGACAACTTTAATTTACATTCCTAAAATGAGAAGCCAGCTCTTTTAAGAAAGAGTCCCATGTATGAGGAATGGACTTCATTTATAACATTGGAAGCAGTGTAATATAAAACAAACCTCTAAATATTGACTTTTAAAAAGATGTTGCTGAGGACACAGGAGAAACACCCAATATAAAATATTAAGGCAAAATACAGCCAAACACATAGATCCATGTATGGATATAGAGCAACAGCTTATGGTCTGACTTTTTGTTTCATAGAAATTCTAATTTTCGTTAACCCAATTTGGGCCATTGTAATGTCATTCTGCCATGGAGGGGAAATCCTTCTGTGGGAAAAAATTGCTCATTTTATCAAAGTAGCAACTATTTATAAATGTATAAAGGATGACATTTATTCTTGGTATACATGTTTTAAATCAAGTATATTTACTTAGGCTTAATTTCCTTGTTATGGTGAAACAGTAGTTTCAAGAAGAGAAAGATCATAATTGTAGAGAAAAAATCATGTTTATATTGGATGTATAGTTCCCCTAAAGTGTGTGCAGGAAATTGATACAGTTTTAGTAACATGAATTTGTGTCTGAGTGTGTGTAAAAAAAAAAGTCACAGGAACCTTAAATTTTTGAACTGACCAAAACAGGTACATTTTCGTTTCTATTTAAAAATAACGTGTATGAAATAGCCCACATGCAGAAAAAGACTGGCCTGGTAGCTCCATCTCTCTAAATGCACAGAAAGGACTTTATAAAGTTTGGACTATCTTACTTGAGAAATCCTGGTTTGACTTTTTCTGAACTTAAAGATGGGCCAATTCTGACAGACTGAATATGCAGACTCACTTGACTCTAAATCCAAGTTGTACAAGTGTTTCCTAATGTGTATCCCTTAAATCCTAAGGCAATTTTAGTTCCAGCTTTCTCTGCCTGGGTGAGATATAAACAGCAAGCACATAGCACATAAAAAAAGCTTTCTGTTGGTTGATGCAGGGAAGTATTGGCTGGCTGTGAAGCTTTAGGCATTAGGACCAAGACAGTGTAAGGATCTGTGCTTACAATTGTACCAGCTGGAACAAAATCTCCTCATTCCCACTTTCTCTGGGCTTTTATGTACTATAAACACCAGCTTTTCTGGTAGTCCTTAATTACATTGCACTGTTTGAAAAGCAAGACACACAGTGGAGGTAAAAGAACCAAGACGTCTTGCTATCCCAACTTCATCTCTAGCTGTATGACTTTGGCTATCCATTTTTCCTCCCTAGGCTTCCCTTTCATGTTTAAAATGGGATGACAGAGCTAAGTCCTTTCTAGTGCTAAGATCCTCCGAGTCTCTTCATTTCCTCCAGTTATGTCTTGAAAGCATGTGTGGCCCATCTCCTTACAGTTAGTACCCTTCTGTTTCTCTTACAACCGTAAGTCATTGGAGACCCCTGCACCCACTCTTCCATGCTCCCGTGCACATGGGCAGGATGAAAGGAGCTAGGTCGTTCTGCTACCAAGGGACTCCTTGACATCACTCACATGGATAAAGGTCCATGAGATTGTGCTGTTTTAGAATTAGAGCTGAAAGATACGTAAGAAAACGTGTGGCTCAGGCTTCTCATTATTCAAGAGGAACTCTTGCTCTTTGCTCTTCTTTAGCTTTCTCGAAATACTGTGTCACAACTTTGCTCTTTTGCCTCAACCCTTCAAAAGCCTTGAACATAAATGGCTCCATGCCTAGATAGTTGCTAACATAGATGGGATGTCTAGAATTCTGGCATATGGAATTTGCAATAGTAGTTTAAGCATCTCTGATATACCTGCTTCTAGGGATGGTTCCAGAACAGATTTCAGCCTCCTGTCTCCTTCAATTAACATCAGGGCACAGACAGAGCATCTCTTTACTAGCCACTAGACAAACAGTGAGAAGATCAAGGTCTGGGTATCCTAAGGCAAATCTTGTTTCTTCCTTGTGACTTGTAGATGATAGAGTTGGAGGGAGTTTTTGGCAGCCGGTGACCCAAACTGATTAAACATAGAGTGAATTAAATAATGGGTTGAGCTGGACCTTCTTATTAGGAAAGACTTAATTGGTCCATCCCTTCTCTAACTAAATTTAAGTTTTATTTTAAAATCAAGAACCTAAAATCATATGATAAACCTGAGACCCATATAGTGTCCCTTCTCTGCCAGGGCAGAACACACAGGGGTTGGAGCTGAACCATTTCATGCCTGGCTTCTAAAGATAATCACGTTTAGCACTTATGTCTTTGGTGAAGGAAAAAAAATCAATTTTTGCTGTGGAAAACCATCTGTGTTTATTCAATTGACAGATACTACCTTTCAATCTTTCTTAAATTGAGCCTCCCCAAGGCAGGCAGCTCAACAGTGATAGATTAAGCAATAAACAAAGCAGTCTCCCCACCAAGGGCTGCTGCTGGCAGGGAAGGTACAGCTGCCATTGGGAGTGATATTCGGCAGCAAGATGATCCTCCCTGGTTAGTGCAGACAAGGTCCCTCCCTGCTGATGATTTTATGATTCCCCATAAATGTGGATGGCTCAACCCAGTTCTTCTGGCTGCTCTCACTTCCCCACTGAATCTAACTTTCTGTCTCATTAGCAAAGCCTCTTTGCCCCACTAATAATTTGGTTCTTCAGCTTAGAGGACGGGGAGCCTGTAGGGAAACTATTTGGAAGCTGCTACAGACAAAGCAACCTCATCTTGTTAGCAACGTGCACACTAAACAGAAGTAAATGAACTTGACTGTAAGATGTGGGGGAACTTGGGTTATAAAGTTCTTGTTGCCGCCAAGAGGAGCAGTTGGTTATTGGTTGCCCAGCCTCATCATATGTCAGATGGCTTCTAGTAAAAGGGATTATCTTTGTTTGGAGAATGACGTGTTGAATGACATCCTCATCTGTGGGTTAAAAGGTGGCTAAGTCACTTTCCCCAGAAGCCAGATAGAAACAATTACCCTGAGGACCTGGCTGTATGAGGACTGAATGAACAGTGTACACCAAATCATGGTAAAAGCGGGGAGATACACACTTTCTTGCCATTGGATCTCTTCACCTCCACACTGGGAGGGAGTGGTTGTGAGAGAATGGATTATAGAATTAGCCATGAGGTTCGGGGAGGAACAGAGCATATTTTACAAAATTCCTCTAACCTTGGCCCCATTTCATGGAATGAACTAACAACTGAGAGGAAGCAAGAGTGTTTACTTTTATGGGACCAATCTCTCTCGCTCCTGCTCTCTCTTCTCTGTCTCTCTGTGTGCATGTGCATATGAGCTAATCAGTGAAAGCACACCACCCTGAGCTCTCCTTCATTCTGTGTCTGGAGTGCTATTCCTCCCGGCCACACCTCTCCCACAGCACACAGACACAGCAACTTTAACACTGCTCCACTCTCACTCTGACTCTGGCCTTCATGGCCAGTGAGATAGCTCAACTGGTAAAGGCGCTTACTGCTGAGCCAGACTAACTAAATGCCACCCCCAGAACCCATGCCGCTGAAGGCAAGAACTATCCTGAAAGTTGTCTTCTGACCTCCGCACATGCACTGTGGCACATGCATGCCCTCCACACAACCCTCCCCCTGCCATAGATAAACAAAGGTAATAAAAAGAAATTTTAAAATATTATAATTTGGGTCTTTAAAGACATCCTTTGTTAGATAAAGGAAGATCAAACACATGCTCCAGGAGAGCATATATCTAGAGCGGTCAACAAAAAGCACATGAAGAACAAACTTTGCTTTCATGAAACCTCATGTTAGAAATGCACTCAATAGAGTTTAAATATTTTCTTAAAATTTCAAGGTTGCACATGTATTCAGTGTAGGAATCGTGGGTTAGACGATTATGGTCCATGATTAATTCAAAAGAATATTGCATTTACCTCGTGTTCACAGTCTATAAAGCATTCTCACACTCATTACCTCATCAAACCAATACCTTTCCCACTGACCAAAAAGCCCATTGACATCCTTTAGTATGGGAATTTGGAAGTATTAAATTCACTTACTTGTGACCATCTAGCACTGAATTAAAAGATCCATGGAACCATGGGACTGAAGCATGAGCTGTCAAAATCAAACCACATTTGACCTTGAAAAGGAAAAGGTTGTTTTGTCCACTGCAATTTAATCTGATTTCATTTTGCTCTGATCTGAATTAACTGTGCTTTATTCCTTATGGCTCATTCTGGGAAAATGACAATCATTGCTTCCCAAGTTTCCAGGTAATTTTGGTGCCCCTAGAAAGAGTCTCCTCACCTTGGTACAAGGGAGTTAACAGGGTTATTGTTGTCTGCAAAGAAGTGGGAATAACTTCCCATGTTATAAGGAAGTGGAAGGCAGAGACACAGGACAAGATGCTTGGGGAAAAACAGTGGCCATGAAATTATCCAAAACCTGAATGAATTCCTGTGGCTTTGAAAGTGCTGGGAGGCAAGGGCCTCAATGTCACCAGGCATTCAAATGTGAACTTCTCTCCTGGGCATATGAAATCATGATTCAAGGCCATTACTTAACAATCCTAAGATTACATGGAAGAGTCAAGTGGCAGAACATAAATATAGAGCAGAATTTCTCTTGATTCCACACCTTCATCCAGCATTACTTCCCAAATTCAGGCTGCGTGAGAAATGAAGATCCCAAGACTTAATACAAAGCCATGTTGCCACTCTAGATGTTGCCCAAAGGCCCGACCTAGTGATAGAATTAAAGCCAATTGGGCAAAGGATGCATCGAAGGCCAAGGCTGGGATGCAGTACAAACTGATTGATCAGGGAAGTCCCTTAGCTTGTACCCTCATCCCAACCCAAAGATACACATTAGTTGCAAGCACCTACTAAGTCTCATGGTTCTGTGACTAACTGAAAAGCCTGCTGAACAGGCTGCTTGGGGACACATGCTTGTAATCCCTGCATTCAAAGAGGCTGAGGCACAAGAACTGCTACAAGTTCCAGGACAGCCAGGGCTACACAGTGACACTTTGTCTTAAAACAACAACCAAAACAACCAAAAAACCAAATCAACAACAAATAACTCACCATTGACAAAGTCAGAGAAGAGGACCCAAGTCCTAACAATCAAGCTTTCTTTGAATCAGGATTCCTTGGAGAATGGGTATCAGGAAAGAGGCAGAGTCACTCACTCACCCTCCACTTGCCTTACTAAATAAATACGATATGGCAATAAATGGTTTCCTGGAGCCTGGAGACCTAGGCTACAGGAACGGCCTCTAATAGGAAAAAATACTCCTGGACTAAAGCACTTAGCCAGGAACTCAAAGAAGGAATCAGTAGTCTGGATACAATGTTAGAATCCCAGATCCCACTGTCTCTTGCCTCCCCGCTCCCCCGAGTTCATACATTTCTAAGAGATATGATTTATATTTCCCCAAATTCAAAAATCACTCCCAGAGTAATAGAACATGGAGAGACTCTCATAACTTTATGGTTTCTTAAGAGAATCATTTTAATGGATGATAAAACTTCATACATTCGAGACTTCATTAACTCCCAGGCAAACTTGAAATTTTTGGTATAACTCAGAACCTCAATATGTAAGACACATTGTACAATTTGGGCCTCTTGTGTATTCAAGTTTTTCTTTGCATTGGCTTTAACTAGTGACTATGATAACAAAAAAGTAAAAATGCTTTCCCTAAAAAATATTTTGTTCTGTAAGCTGAGCTTTACTGATTTGTACATGATCTTTCTTGTATTCGAGACAACAGGGTTTGAGATGATACACTCCAGTGAGTTGTGAAACTACATGGCACACGCTTCTTTAGTGTCATTTTATGTTCTGTTTTAAATACTAGGCACATGTTTTGTAAATTATAATTGTACTTGTTAACATTAGCCATAAATATTTATTGCATTGAAAAACATACTCTGTGTTAAATAACTCAGAACGAGTTCCAGGTGTGGTACTCAGTGTAAATAATGTCATAGCTTGGTTTTGTCTAGACTCTTTGGACTAATGAATTATGTAGGAGAAGTTCACAGTATGAACATGACTGACTCAGATCCTTTTACCTTTGCCATGTTTGTTACTGTGTGGCCATGTGAAACTTGCTCTGTTCAAGTGTGCTTTGTAATTGAATTTGGATGTCTTCAGAAATGTTTCCAAAGCTACTGTCCCAACCTGTGTGCTCTCTGGGACAGTAACTTGAATCCAGTGTAGAAAACTGAATGTTCAAAGTGGTAGAAGATAAGTAGTTGCTCTTATTTCTTAACACAATAAAGCATAATTTATAAACTGTACAGATGCATGCATCCAATAGTCAATAAAATAGTTGCTGCGTGACTGCAGTCTGTGGCTCTGTGTCCCATTTATTAATAATAATAACTGTTATTATCATCATCATCACTACTATTACCATCATTGTTATTATTTTAGGGGGACATGTACACCAGGGCACACATGCAGGAGATCAGAGACCAACTTGTGGGAGGCGGTTTCTTCTTCTGCCATATGGGCCCTAGGGATCAAACTCAGTTCTCAGGCTTAGTGGCAAGCACCTTTCAATTGCTGAGCCATCTCACCAGTCCTGTCCTTTAGATTGTTGGTTCCTCAGACCTACATCAGAATCAATCAGGTTGATTTGTTGCAAAATGTAGAGTTTCTAATATTTTATGAAGATGGAACATTCTGCACTGAAAACCAAACACTCCAGATAATTCTCTATAACTAGAGTTTTATTACATTTTTTACTTATACACTTAACATTTTAAAATGTATTTTACTTTTTTATTTTTTTAATTTATTTATTTATTTTGAGGTGAAAGGATTTATTTTAGCTCACTATTCCAGGATTCAGGTCAAGGTGAATGACATGAAATTCCCAAAGAATCAATAAAAAGTAAGCATATGGATGTTTTTAACATACTTTTGAATGTTAGGTTTTTCATATATAAATAAACTATTTTATGCATTATGAGAAAGTAGGGAAAGGCTTTGTGATCATAGATTCATAAAACATAAAATACACACAGGGAGATTGATGTGTTATGAAAATACTTGTTATGTGAAAGAATTTTCATCTAAATGTCCATGTAAATGGAATGCAAACTATCTTTGCACAAATAAACAGATTTTTCCCTCCATCTGACATTCTGTCTTAATCACTACTAACACAACATACAAAGAGTAGAAAACCAGGAAGTTTTTCCTACTTACTTTTACATTTCACTATGGTGGATGAATCTGAGTCTTGATCAACAGAGCCTTCTTCCTTGACTTCCTTAGATTTTATGTGTCTATATCTGTATGAATATACTTTATTAATTCTTTCAGAATTTCACATAATGTATTTTGATCTTATTTATCCCTTACTCCTCCCCTAACTCTTCCTAGACCTACTCCCACCTTCCTATGCACCCACAACTTCATGTTGTCTTCTTCCTCTTCCTCTTCCTCCTCCTCTTCCCTCCTCCCCCTCCTCCTCCTCCTCCTCTTCCTCCTCCTTCTTCTTCATTTAAATAACTCCATGACTCTGAATTTGTGCTGTCCATATACTCCTGAACCATCTGGTAGAGCATGGTTGGTCTATCAGGAACTACATCCTTAAAGAAAATCAACTTTCCTTCCCCCAGAAACCACCAAGCGGCCAGAGTTTTTCAGTTAAGGGTGGGAGCTTTGAAACCTCTTCTCTCTCCATGCTAGAATGTTGACTGTCTTGGTCTTGTGTGGGTCTTGTACAGGCAACCACTGCTGCTATGAGTTTGTGGGTGCAGTGGTCCTGTCATGTCAGAGGATACCAGTTTGCTCTGATCTCCCTAACCTCTGTCTCATGGTCTAAAGAACTAAAATAACATGTCTCAGAACTAAAGGCATGAAAAATTGCATCCAGTGCAAAGTTATTTAACTATTACTGCCCCTTGTCCCATTAATGCTCAGCATCCATCCCCAAACCCTGCAGTTGGTAGTCATTGCTGTGCTGTTACTAGTTTCTTTCTATGTTTACTGCAGTGTTTACACATATATACAGATAAATATAAAATATTTTTGCACATTCCATCCTCAATTTACAGAAATGGTAGCATATTAGTTGCTATGCCATCAAGAAAGCCATCCTGGCTTTGGTGGCACAAGAATGCCTATAATATTAGCACTTGGAAGTCAGAGGCATGAAGCTCACTGAAAGTTTGAGACCAGCCTTGGCTACTTAGTGAGTTCCAGGCCAGCCAGGACTACAAGTGTTAAATGAGTAAGCAAAGCAGACAAAAGACAATCACCAGCCCTAGCACATTGATCTGGACCCTGCAGAGCTGGAAAAAAAGATTTTTCCTTATAAATCTATGTTCTTGGTAACAGAACACAGGCTAATGCAAGGAAGTTGACAACAAGGGAGTGACAGAGTCATAGTGGGTGTAAATAAGGCCCGCCCAAACTCTGTACCTTGGTGAGAAGAGCTAATACTAGAGGTGCCTATCGGATGTAGTCAGCAAATTTCTTGAAGGACACATTGGTCACCGTGCCAAGAGGCTTCCAGTTGATGGGCCTTTGAATGGAAGAAAGCTCTTTCATCTCCCACGTTCCCTGCCATGCACTCCACCTTCTTGATATGAAGTGTGTACAGTCCACAATTAAGTTGTAAATGCTTTACAGAAGTGTCAACACTTCCACATCATAATTGTGCCTAAAGTAATGCTTGAGTCTCTGGGTTTCATGGGTTATACGGGAAGACAATCGAGCTACAAAGTTTTGGGATATCCAGGCAATAAAACGCTAAACTGAATGTAAGTTTGTTTCAGTTTAATCGCTCAGAGTTTCATGTAAAGCCCAAGTGATATTTCCTATTCAAAAGTCTGAACTCTTTGTAAGTATTCTACCTACCATGTCAGAAAAGAAAACTTTACTAATCCACAGATTGTAATATAGAGATTTTAATACTCTCACAGAAGCATGGATTATTAGCATTGGAAGACACCCCAGAGAATGCCATATATAGCCCCTAATTTTAAAAATGAGGAGGTTAAAGAAAAGTGTCAGAATTTATGCTTCGTTTAGTCCTCAGAGTTTGGAAAAATGAAAACTAATGGGCTTGGAGATGATGTAGATAAAGTGGGCAGAGTTTCATCGGTCCCTTTTGCTAGGGGAAAGGCAAATCTATACAGACTATGCTGTAACACGCCAAGCTTATTCATTAGACTCAACACCGATGAGTGATGGTTTCTAATAAAAGAAAGATGAGATAATTTCTCAAGGAAACAACACAGAAGCATAACTCCTATCCTTTGCATATTGACTGAAATGTGTTTACTATTATAAAAATGAATTTCTGAAAGTACAACCCTTTTCTGGAGTTGAAGTCAGGAAAGGCAAACACCTTGCTCCAAACAACTTTATCTCCTCACAGATCCTCTAGGCCTTCAGATGGGCTGCAATAGTTCCAACCAGTGTTCCCTTTACTAGCATAGTCTACTTTGGGGCGTTCACCCAGGACAATGGCAGCTGGTGTATGGTTCATGAACCATTACCTAAGAGCTAGTTAAAAGGCAAATTTGCACACCCTACTTTAGACCTACTGTATCCAAATTGACTTTTTAATAGCTCACTAAGCAATTTTGTTCTTTGTGGTCCCAGAGAATGGTCTGGGAGAGCTATATTCTAAGTTTGGGATGAGTGAAGTTATGAAGTATGTAACAGTCAAAAGACTAAATACTGAGCATCAGAGAGCAAAACAGCATTAAATGGGTGCATGAAACTTCTAGTAGAGACAACTGGAGTAGGCCAAATGAGAGGGCAAACAAAATGTAACATCGCCAAATTAGGGAATAGAAATATCCAGTAGAAATTTATTGGAGAAGCCCCATTGAGACAGTCAGCAGGAGTTCCCAATAAAAAGAGTCCCAGGCAGAATAAAATGTCCCCTCAGATGAGGTTTCCAAGTAAAGGAATAGTACCATATAAAGATAACATTATCAAATTGGTTACTGGCAACATCCTGCAGAAACCAACTGAGGAAGGTGAGGTTGTCAGATGGAGTTCCTGATTGATTGAGCTTTCTCTCCATGAATATGATTCCCATGGATAGACTTCTGGCTTTTCATCCCCACTCTCAATCATGGTATAAAACAATAGTGACCTCTGTTGGAGATGGTTCGCCTTTTAGCTGTTCTCAACCATCTGTAACTCCAGTTCCAGGGGCTCCAACATCCTCTTCCGACCTCTGTGGGCCAGTGTGTGCATGGTTCACATACATACATGCAAGCAAAATGTCCACACAAGTAAAATAGAATAAATCTGAAAAATAAAACTCTTGTATCTGCTTATTGATTAACTTTTTTTCATAGAAATAAGAGCTACCTGTCCATTAAACCCACCTCAAAGGAAGTACTTTCTTTCTGATTAGACAGTGTCACCCCAATTTTATTGTTAGAGGAGAGTGTTTAAAGGTCTACTGCTGTTCACAAGCACATTCCTGATTCCAGGCAAACCTTTGTTGTGCCATTTTTCCAAAGGAGAAAATGCCTTGCAGAAGAACCTTTAGGTGATCGGATGGAGGCATTTTCTCACCTGAAGTTCCTTTTCCCGGATAATTATAGCTTGTATCAAGTTTAAAAAACAACAAACAAACAAAATCAACCAAGACAACTGACCTCTTGTCAGTTTGGCACATCAATACTTTACTGTTAAACCATAACCCTTCCTTTCTTGTTTATTACCAAGATGTTATATAAATATTAATATAACATTATAAAACATTCCAAAGTCTCACAGTCTTTAAAACTCCAAACACTTTAAAATTCAGTCTCTTTAAAATATCCAAAGTCTCTTTTGAAGTTCAAAGCTTCTCTAAAATTCCAAAGTCTTTCTAAAATATTCAAAGTTTCTCTAAAATTCCAGTCTATGTAAAACTCCCAAGTCTTTCTAAATATCCAAAGTCTGTCTAAAATTTCAGTCTCTCTAAAATTCCAAAGTCTCACAATTGTGAGCTCCTATAAAGTGAAGTAAAAAAAATAAGTCACATAATTTCTTACTTTAAGAGCAAAGAACCTGGGCACCATTAGAATCAAATCAAAGCAGAACTATAGTCCAACAGTGTAAAGCTCAATGTCAGACATCTCACAATCTTCTGGGCTTCAAGGGCCATCATTTCCCAGCTCTATTGCCATTGTCAGCACACACAGTTCATCTCTAGGTTCAGGCCAGCTCCACCCACAGCTGCTGTTGTCCCCAGCAATCATGCAATGGTACTAGCGTCTCTAAAATGGTGGATCTCTGCTACAGCTGAGCTATACCTTCACCAATAGTCTCTCCTGGGCTCTCATCAGGGACTCCAACCCTGCCACTTGGTGCCAGTCCT